GAGCACGCCACCTTAACCACTATGCCACCAGGCTGGCCCCTAAAGTGTGGTTTTTAATGGCCATAATAAATATAACCAGTTTATGTGCCATAACATATTTAACCAATCCCTTTATGTTTGATTTTCAAGCTATTTCCATTTTTTTGACATTATAAATAAGATCCTACAAACATTTTTATACATCAATACTTACACATATCTATGATTATTTCCTAGAATAAATTCCAGGAAGTAGAATTGCTGGGCAAAAGTTTACATACAATTTAATAATTTTAAAACATATTGCCAAATTGACCCTCAAATATATTGTATTATTTCACATTTCTATTAGTGAGTCTAAGTGCCAATTTCACTGCACTCCTGACAAAAATAGCATGTTGTTTTAATTTGCATTTTTAGTAAGTATAGACATGTTTTCTTCTTCATTTTTTTTGTTTTTTGTTTTCTTAATGTCTGTTTCTGTTTTTTCCCCTATTTTTTATTGGGTAAACTCATGCTTTGTTCTTTACTAGAAATTTCAGACTCTTGGATTTGGGGAACTAGATGGATCTGAAAAAATAGGGGGATGAGGGGGACAAAACTTTTTTCTATCAAGACAGCACATGAAAATTAAAAGAAAATTACTCTTAGCACCCTTTCATTTTAAAAAATGGGGCCAGGAGCATTTTAACAGAAAAAATAAGATATATTCACAGAATAAAGGATGGTTCTTCCCAAGAAAGAGTGGTTGGCAATAGTTTGTATTTTTCTAGGATTGGAGAAATTTTCGTCAAGGTTCAGACTGACAGTCCTTGTAGCAGGATTTAGGAACCATTGGGCTCACCATGCTGCAATTCTAGGTCTTAGTCTCATTTGAAAACTGACGTGGTTAGACTAATGATCTAATAAAATTCCTCCTATCCCTGAATTTCAAGCCATTTCTTTCATATGTAGTCTAAACTTAATTATCTATCTGAGAGTTGTAGTATATGTATCCATTTGTCATTGGTTTTGGAATAGATTTTTTATCTGCTTTTTTTAAAAAAGTGTATGTAATCTTACAGAAATTAGCTTCAAAGACTAAACATTGTAATAAAAAGTGACGATTTTCCCCATTGCTCATGAACTCCCCATCCCACAGGCAAAACACCTTTGGATAAAACCCTTAAGAAGGTTTCAGCATCTGATTTTGGGATTCCTGAGGATTTACTTTTCATGAAGAAAATTTCTTTTTCTGAGTTGTTGCTTCTTACATGTGTCAGATTGTTTTTCTCTCTGTAGATTGGGTCAAAGAAGAAAAGTGACAGTTTCCTTTACTGAAGTCAATGAGTGACGAGACAAAGACGTCTTAAAAATGGCCACTTAATGCTAGTCACCATGTTCCAGAGTCTAATCCCAAGCTTTGCAGAAACAAAACTACAGTTTTGTCAATGCACCCAGATCATATCAAATTTTTAGCAACTGACAAAGGTTAGTCAAACTATTATTACTACTACTACTACTACTACTATTACCAGGTAAAATTTATTGAACACTCAGAATGTGCTAGTTACTGTGCATTTACTTGGTTTACTTACTCCTAACAACAACTCTCTGAGATAAGTACTATTATTAAACCCCATTTTGCAGATGAGGAAGCTGAAGTACCAGATTAAAAACTTGGTCAAGGGTAGGCAGCTATTAAATAGTGGAGCCAAGCTTCAACCCCATCTCTGTCACAGTCCATGAGTTTATGCTCTTAATTGTTACACTACACTACCTCTCCCAAGAAAAGGATTTATTAACTAAAATCATTTTTATTAATTTACAGTAGAAGATATTCATTTCCAGGGATTAGAAGAACAAAACGTCAAACAGAGGGAAGTCAATGGTCCTGCGGTATTTCTCTAAGTACAGCTGAGAGCTGGTTAATAAATAGGCTCTCTCCTTCCAAGATAGTGCTGAACAAACTGCTAAACTCTAAGTGTAAGCTAGTCTAGCTCACTCTGGTTAAGATAGCAAGCTGACCAAGTCCCTTTCATTAATATTCTTTCTTTAGGGGGCCGGCCCGTGGCGTAGTGGTTAAGTACATGCACTCTGCTGCTGGCAGCCCGGGGTTCAGATCCCGGGTGCGCACCACCGCACTGCTCCTCAGGCCATGCTGTGGCGGCGTCCCACATAAAGTGGAGGAAGATCAGCACGGATGTTAGCCCAGGGCCAGTCTTCCTCAGCAAAAAAAAGAGGAGGATTGGCATGGATGTTAGCTCAGGGCTGATCTTCTTCACACACACAAAAATATATATGTATATATATTCTTTCTTTAGAGAAGGAACAACACAACTGAGTAGTTTAGGGCTTGGCTTGGTGGTTCTACAGTTTCACATCTTTGAATACAATCAGGTATTCCTCAGAAAGCCTCACTCTTCCCAGATTGTTTTACCCTCCTAAACCACTCATTTGGGTAATATTTGTCTCAGTGGGGCACTCCTGCATCAGGACTGTCCTCTTGCTAGTTTCACTCTTTGAAGTTGGTCAAAGCACTGGCATTCTTTAACTGGTCCTCCCCACGCCCCCTCAGACTTCAGTACTGATTGCAGTCCAGTACTTGCCTAATGAGAAGTTCATTTCTTTATACAATGTGAAAGAATTGTAAACATGCCTCTAAAACTTTTTCCTTCCCAGAAGTTCTTAGCAGCAATCTAGAAGGGAATAGAAGATCATGAAATGTTGAAAAAAGAAAAGAAAGTTGTAGTTGAACATAGCTGTTTGGATTGACCTACAGTATATAAATACACAGCACTTACATAAATATATTTAAAAAGACAAGTGTTGGTAACTACAGACTATTTCTTTATATTAAAAATCGATATGTATATAAAATGTCTAAACTTGTTTTTGCTTTAATATTTTCACATCTAAGCTAAAATGGTGATAATTACTTAAAAGTGAAACTAAAATGGAGAAGAAAATAAGATAAAAAGTGAACTTTTTTTTAAATGCTTCTCTGGAAATACCGAATCTAGGAAATGCAGATAAATTTTGAAAGCTCTGGGCCGGCCCCGTGGCTTAGCGGTTAAATGCGCACGCTCCGCTGCTGGCAGCCCAGGTTCCGATCCCGGGCGCGCACCGATGCACCGCATCTCCGGCCATGCTGAGGCTGTGTCCCACATACAGCAACTAGAAGGATGTGCAGCTATGACGTACAACTATCTACTGGGGCTTTGGGGGAAAAAATAAATAAATAAAATTATATAAAAAAAAAAAAAGAAAGCTGTAGTAAAAGGATTAAGAATTAATTCCCCCTTCCTAAACTAATAATATTATCAATATTTAGCAACAGTAATATGTTAAGAATTACTCAATATTTCATATTAGGAAATATTGAAATATTTGTTGAATTGAATTAAGTAGCTTTCACATTCAAATTGAATCTGGGAATGTGATCTTAATTTAACAGAGAATCCTAGACACATAAATTTATGTAGATGAAACTGATTTCCAAAGAATCAGCAGGAATAAAAGTGCTCTGTACAATAAAATCTCCCTGATTTGGATTGACGCTTAGTGAAAAGAATTGATTATGTGTTATTAGAGAAAGAGTATTCAGTATATAGTGTACAGAAATAGTAAACAGTACTATTATTTTTTCATGGTAACTAGTTAACAAAGCCCAGCTTAGAATTGGTCCTCTCTTACTAGAGCTAAATAATATGTAATTAGCTTAACTAAACACTTGTCTCTTAGAGAGGCAGGAAAGCCACTCAGGGTTTACCCCTTTTCATTTAATGTGCTTGAAAGCAGTTTGTTATAAGTTGGAAAATTGTTTCTTTTCATATTGTTTCCACTATTATTTGCTTAGAAATTCTCTTTTGTACCATAGACTTTGTATTCAGAGCCAAAAAATATTTATTGAGGCCTAATAGGAGTTACCCAGTATGATAAGAGCTATCTTTCAATAAGTTATCTATGCTTTGAACAACAGCAATTTTCATAAATTCTTAATAGAAGAAAGTCAAATTAGTGAGGTTTTACAAAATTGATAGTCTATCTTTCAGGGGGTATATACAAAGACTTATTGTTTAATCCTTTTGAGAAGAACCCTGTTAAGTAGATAACAACAAAAATCAATGAGACTAGAGGAAAACAAATATACTCTATAGAACTTTGATTTTTTTGCTGGAGATATTCTTGAGACAGACTAATTCTTTCCATAATTTAATAAATCTGAAAAAATACATATGTATAAAATCGTAGCATTACTCAGAGAAAATCCGTATTTTCTCCATATATAATTTATACATAAAAATATATATGTATAAAATCGTAGCATTACTTGGAGAAAATCCATATTCACCTGACTATAGGCTTATTCTACTAAACCTCCTTTCTCCTGTACTCTACCCCACACCTATACACACCAAGTGAAGTTACAGCAGATGAAAAAAAAAACATACAAATACCTAAGGATTTCCTCTAGTGTGTGGAACATTTCCAACTCGTGTATTCCAAGTATTTACGGTGTAATGTCTTTTTTTGTGTGTGGATGGTAAAAAAGAAGTTAAATCTGTATTCATAGAGCTGGTGTCTGGCAATTACATTGTATGAAATCAAAACTGGATTTTAAGCGACTCTAAAGTAAAGATTTTCATTTATTTGATATATAGAGTGGCTGAGCAGCAAAGCTGCTATGCCAAGACGACTTGAGAAAGTCCCAGACTTCAGGATCTGAGTATTAGTGGATGAGATGTGTTACTACAATACAAAGCAGAAAGCACTACAAGGGAAGCACAAATACATTACTTTGTGCATCAATGTAAATAATTTCAGAATTGCCACTAGCCAAAATGCTGTAAGGATTTAGGGTTTTGTCACAATTTAAACACAACAGGAAAAAAAAAATCTCTATTCCTTTGTCCCCCAGACTCCAAGAACTCGGACCGTGTTGGTGAAAATTGGCGGCTGGTTCTGAAGGATCGGTGCAGGGCGGGCGGTACCTGGGGGATCACCCCTTTTGAGGCCTATGGGATTCATGGAGTTCTCACCCTGGCCAAACTCCCGATTACCTCTGATGAGCCCCAAAGATCACTGAGTCGCAGTCTAGGCCGGGTCCCCCAGCAGAAAGGCAGCGACGGCTGCAACATCAGCGGTTAAATTTTACAGCCTTTCATAAGGCCGGTCTAATGCACCTGTAGTAAGATTACTAGAGCTGACAGCACCTAGATTGGGGAAAATGAAAGGGGGGAGGGAGAAGGGAAGGAAAATGAAGAGGGGGTACAGGAAAAGGGGGCGGGGGAGCGGGACTCCGCAGGAAAGGCCAAGGGTTTACTGGCGAGATCTTGGCGTTCCCATGGAAACGTATCCCTCCGCCCGTGACCGGCGTCTCAGTCTCTCCACTTCCCTCCGCGCCGCATCTCGGCTGTTTCCGCCCAGCTCCTTTGTGCCGCGCAGAACGTCGAGATGACGCATGCGCAAAGAAACGCAGCCGCCGCATATATAAGCGCGAACCCAGGCTTTTCCTCGTAGTGCCGCCAGGACCGTTGGCTGGTGGGTCGGTGGTGCGGTTTTCGTCTTACTGGATACCTGGGCACTGTGAGCTGAAAGAGCAGAGCTCGCGGGCCGGTCATCATGTCGCGTTACGGGCGGTACGGAGGAGGTAAGAGGCTAGGGCCCAGTGAGGGATGTTGCTGTGGGTGTAGTGAGTACTGCGAGGCTGTGGGGTTGGCGCGGCTGTTGGGAAACGGTTATTCCGCGTGCGTAATGGCGGCTTCGGCGCACACCGTACGAAGCCGGAGGCAGCGGGGGCGGGGTGTGGAAGGAAGACAGGGGCTGGCGAGTGTAGGTCTGTGCCGAGTTCCAGGTTAATTCTTGGACATTTTCGTCTCCCGCCCCAGCCCAAGCCAGGCCCACAATCACTGTTTTCCTGCTGCCCTTCGAGCCGCCCGCCTGCCCCCCCCCGCCCTCGGCTGCCATTTTGCGCACATTGACGACCATGGTGGCGCATTTCCTTGGCGCTTTCCCGCCACTTCAGCGGACAGATCTGGTCGCAGCCGTAAAATCAAGGGTGAATTTGAGACTGAACAAAACTGTGGCAGCTTCGAGCTGCGCATTCTCGTCCAACGATCGGTCGAATTGCGGAGTGGGAATGGAGACATAATCTTTTCGTCTTGCGGCTGGTTTCTTTTTCTCTTTTAGCTCTTTCGAGCGCGGTTTATGGCTCTGGGGCGGGGACCTGAGCCTTGGGCGAGCCTGCGCCTGGGGCGGTTGCCGTGGAGGACGAGAGCCGGCGCAGCCCTGCTCTCCCGTTTCGGCC